CTTTTCCAGGCAATGAAAACAAAAACAAAAACAGAGAGCTGTATTGGAAGTGGAGCATCCAAGACTAGAACTGTTACCTTCATGGGATGCTGGCATTGAAGGGGACTAAGCCACAATGCCAGGCCCTCTAACCCTGTTTTTTACATCTTTATGGCATCGATTTTTAAAGATATTGGGCCAGTTGTCTTATGGAATGTTCTATATTCTGAATTTATTATCTCTAGCAAGAGTCAGGAAACATCCAACCCAAGGGCTATATAAGGCCTGAGAAAGCATTTGGTTTGGCCCTGCGAAGGCAACCACAGTCAGTACTCAAAATTCAATACACTTATAGCAGACTAATTTTTAAGCTGATAATTTTGTGTGTCCTGTGAGTGATGTTAAAATATCCAAATAGCCCTTAGAAGAAAAAAATGTGTTCTCTACCCTGCATAATGTATCATTTAAGTTGTTTTACAACCCCCTCTATCTCCTGTAATGAGTTAATTATACAGCCTCCATATGATACAGGTTAAAAAATATTTTATAAATGAGTGGTGCCCTGTATATTATATTATATTATATTATATTATATTATATTATATTATATTAGAACATACATGCTTTACTTTCAAATGCCCATAAATACCTGGATTAAGGGGATGCTAGCCGGAAAAGGAAAACTGTCCTGAAGCTATTGGGAGTAATTAAAGTGTAAGATGATGGTGGCTCAGAACAATGTGCTAGCAGTTGAAGTGATAAGTAGCCAGATTTTATATATATGATGAAGCCACTGGAAGTGGAATTTGAGAGAATAGAGACAAGTGTGCAAGAATAATCAAGTAATGACTTCAAGGCATTTGGCTTCAGATACTGAAAGGGCAGACATGTCACCACCTCAAGTGGGGAAAGCCATGGGTGTCGCTCCCCCTCTTCGTGGAGGAGCAACACAGGACCCTGCGCTGTTCTTTCGTCTGCTCGGCCCTCCCCGGGTTTGCTGCTGGTTCTTCCCGGGTTGGCTACTATCCCTTCCACCTCCGTGGAAGGGCAGTTCCCCCTGGCCGCATTCCCCACTTCCGCAGGGGAGCGGCACACCGCCGGCCGGTTCTCTCGGGGGCTGCACGGGTTCCCTTAGATGTTCCCCATAGATGTTCCCGGTGCATGCCGTCTCTCTCCTCCTTTATAGTCCTCCTCCGCCAATCCCAACTCGGCTGCCCACACGCCGAGTACGCTGCTCTCCAATCAGGAGTAGGTCCTACAGTTTATTGGTTGAACTGGAGGCAGCTGTGCGGAAGCTGTTTACTTCTCTCCCAGCGCCATATTGTGGGAGAGCAGATGCATAGAATAAGTCTTAATTCCAGTAACTTAGTCTAGTCCGAGCTGCTCCCCACAGAGGAGAGCAGATGCATAGAATAAGTCTTAATTCCAGTAACTTAGTCCAGTCCGAGCTGCTCCCCACAGATCCCCCTTTCTTTTTATTTTTTTGGCGTTGATACGCGCCTGTCTTCGGTGTCCCGCAGCACACACTCTGCTCTACTTGCTAGAGTTGCCACAGGCTCTTACAAGTCCTATCCATCAGGCAAACCGAATCCGGGTCCTCTCTTCGCCATGTTGTGAGGAGGTTTTTAGGCGCTGATGCGTGCCCTGTGTTCGGTGCCCTGCAGCGCATGCTTTGCTCTGCCTGCAGGGGCTTACCGCCTTAATTAGGCAGACCGAATCCAAGCCTTCTCATTGCCTTATTGTGGGGGAGACTTATTAGTGTTAATTCGTGCCTGTCTTCGGTGACCTGCGGCGCATAAGCTGCTAGCCGCCGCAGGTGCTCATCGTGCTCATCGCCTCACTTAATCAGACAGGCCGAATCCAAGCTTTCTCATTGCCATGTTGAGGGGAGGCCTTATTTTTCTCTATTTCTCTATCTCCGGGCATTCCTATTTCTCCCATTTTACTTCTGTCTGCCAACATTCCTATTTCTCTCACTTTACTTCTAAACTTCTGTTTCTCTTATCCCCGCAGCTTCCCGGTGCCTCGCCCTGCCGGCAGGCTCCGCCCCGAGGCTATTTCTCCGCGGCTTTCCCGCCGAGCCGCTTCAGCCCGCGTCTCTCATCTGCGCGGCTTCCCGGCTTTGCGCGGCTTGGCTTCGCGCGCTCCGCGGTCTCCACGCCCTTCGCGTCTGCACCACGGCCTACGCCAGCCCCGTTCCCTATCTATTCATGCCCCGTGCTCTCTCTGCACGCGGCGGCTTCCGCGAGTAACACAGCGTAGCT